AAATCTCCAGTCACAACCCCATCAGCCTCATCAGGTGATCTGTTGCTTAGTTACAAGACTGCCTGGGTAGACTGATGCTTCAGAAAGGTAGCCAGTTATTTGTCCAAGGGAGTTTTTTTCCATGTGACATCAAGGTTTAATTATACTTCATTGCCTGGTGCCACTACCGCTTGGAATCTCAGTCCAGCATGGAGTTAAAAAGACTAAGAAGGCAGACAAGCCCCACATTCAATGTGGAGTTGGAGATTATGAACTCATGTATGTTTTTAACAAAACTACAAACTGGAATTCATATAGCATACATAGATGGATTCTCCATTTCATCACAAAAGTTTTACTTCTCTGAAATTGGAGAAATGCAAAGTATTTGACTCTAGCACCTTCCATCCAGATCTGGATAAAATGTGTCTAATCTTATGACCTCTAAGGTATTATCACCATTTCATTAATGGGCATACTGAAAAACAGCATTCACAAAAAGTGGTGTGTAGCAGATCCAGAAAGAGAACTAGATCTCCTGACTCAGGGTCCTGTGCTTTAGCTACAAAATCATCCTCTAAATCCTGAATAGTGAATTGCACTATCTAATCTGATAAAACACAATCTACACTTCATAGTTTAGTAATTATGTAAACACACTTTCATGACCGTTCCATCTACAAAAAGACCTCAACGGTAGCTGTTCAGTTTTTTGCATGGATTTTTAGAACAAATCTTTATTGAATTATATACTTGAAAGCCTACAGAGTAGTTGGCAGTGTGATCCAGTGGTTATAGTTACAGCTCTGTGGTTTATCTCAGAGGTTACGGAAGTCATGGATTTTGTGACTTTCTGCGCCTTCTGTGGCGGTCAGTGTGGCTGGCTCCAAGGCTTCCCAAGCAGTTGGCTCCAGGGCCAGCTGCTCAGGTGGCCCTGGGGACAGCCACACCAGCTGCTTCTTGAGTAGCTCCACAGTCAGCTTGGGTGGCCCCAGGGGACCAGGGCAGCCAGCCCTGCGGGTGTCTGGAGCAGCAAGCCCCCACAGCAGCAGAGGGTCTCCTCCCTTCTCCCCCCCCCCCCAATTTAGTCACGGGTATTTTATACTATAAGTCATGGAGAGGTCACGGGCCATGAATTTTTATTTATTGTCCGTGACCTGTCCATGACTCTTACTTAAAAAATACCCATCACTAAATCATAGACTTGACTATAGTAGTGGATTGGGAGTTTAAAACACACACCCTTGATTCTAACAAGTTTGACTCATATTGGATAACACTGAAAATGACACAATCTGTTTTCCCCATCTATAATATTGAAACAAATGTACTTGCTATTTGTAAGATACCATGTAAAAGGTAAGTATAACCAGCAGCGTCACAAAAGACTGATACTTTAAGGATTCAAAAGTAGTTATATAAATTTAATATTAAAAAATTATTCTTTGCTTTGACTGGTTTTACTCATTAAATTGGTATTGTTCTCTTGGTTTTAAAGGACTATAATGCAGGTTTAAAACATCAGTTTCTAGCAATCTACCTAAGAAAAGCTCTAAAATGCTAGAGAATGTAGGCTTCATAAGGTTCTACAGTAATTGTTAAATATTTTGTGTATTGTAAACTTTTCTAAAGTCACTAAGGCAGGACTGTTACAGCTTTAAATTTAGTTTATATGAATTTATAGCCATGGTTTTCCTTCTTGCAGATCATAGTAATAACAGTACATTTTGTTTAGGGGCACTGTTTGTTTTGTTCTATAACTTTCAGTACTGCAAGTGAATTGAGTGGGAATACAAATGAGTTTCAGTGAAGTCCATAAGTTTTGCTGTGTTAAGAATACAAAGCCCTATGCTGCTGTTACCATGGCTAACATATTTTTCATGTGATCTTCCAGTCAGATAACCTTAGCCTGCTGCTAAAATTGTTACGATACATTTAAGCAGCCATCTTGGTTAAGTGGTAATTGCTGTTATGTCCATCGCTGATGTGAAATAACACAAGTCACTCTGATTTCAGACAGTATAATAAATGATCTGTTTTGTGAATTCCCCAAGCTTTATAAAAGTCAGAACTGTTCTGATCTCTCCCTCCATTATACAAACTATATACATCAGGGGTTCTCAAACTGGGGGTTGTGATCCCTCAGGAGGTTGCGAGATTATTACATGGGGGAGGGTGGTCATAGGCTGTCAGCCTCCAACCCCAAACCCCATTTTGCCTCCAGCATTTCTAGTAGTGTTAAATGCCAAAAAAGAGTTTTTAATTTATAAGGGAGGTCGCACTCAGAGGCTTGCTGTGTGAAAGAGGTCACCAATACAAAAGTTGGAGAATTGCTGCTATACATCAAGATGGAGCAAATAGCAATGGTGATGTTTGAACTACTTTGGTGCAGTCATACAGGACTTGAATAATTGCTAATTTTTAATTTTGTGCACCAAAAAACCACCACCACCAATGCAGATCATAAAATGGGCAGGAGAAAAAGGAGCCAGCTGTCTACAAGCAGTCCATGAATAGATCATAAGTACGACTAAAATTTTGTCAGACATTTTTAGTAAAAGTCACAGACAGGTCACGGGCAATAGAGAGAAATTCACAGAAGCCCCTGACCTGTCCCTGACTTTGGATAAAAATATCCATGATAAAATGGGAAGGGACTGAGCAGTTGCTGGGAGCTCTGGGGGCCCCCCACCACCTGTGCGGGCTCAGAGCTCCAGGGTCCCCCTCCCCCCTCCCTGGGGAGCTGGGAGTTTGGGGGCCTGCTGCCTCAAGTGGCAGGGTACTTCACAGCTCGCTGCGGGGGGGACCCTGCAGCTCCCAGCCACTGGGGCTGAAGTCATGGCAGTCTTTAGAAGTAATGGATTATGTGACTTCTGTGACCTCCATGACAAAATAGTAGCCTTAATCATCAGTCTCTGCCCTGGTTTAGCTACATCAAACTTCTTGTGTTAACTGTAATAAACAGGCAAATATATCTGGAAGCTTCTGACTGTTTTGTGTAATCTGACATGTCCTCCTCAAAACTGAATCTGAAAACCTAAGAATTCAAAGATCTTGCCAAGTATTATGCCTCTTGTGACACCCATGCATTTTTTTTACAGCCTTATCTCTGAGATTCTCAGGCTTCCAGTGTGGCTGTGGGCAACAACTGCAATTTCTCCTGCTCGCCACAATAGGCAGCTATGGCACCTGACCTGGAGGAGAAAATGGGGGGTGGATGGGTGGTCAGGGATGGGGCTGAGATTAGGTAGAGAATGTGATGGTGTCTGAAGAGGGATAGGGAGCATTGGGCAGAAGAGGGATGGAGGTGGCTGCTTCTGCAGTTCCCCACATCCTGAGCCCCAGGTTGCTACTGTCTATCTATCACAGCCTTCGTGGGGTATACCAGGCACACTCCCTCCAGTACCAGTTACTCTTTTAGCTCCAGTGTGAAGAGCATGTGTGAAGATCCTAAGGTTAGATCCTGATAACCCATGTGGGAAACAGTATGTGATCATGTAACTAAAGACTATATATTGTTTATGCACAAGTGAAGGGTGAATTGAAGCTGCACAAGTAACCTTAATTCTTGCATTCCCTACTTATGTGGTGTTGACTTCACACCCAACATTAAAATTATAAATTAAATCTAGGCACTGTAGGAGCCACTCCTAGGTCAGCACTTAATCTCAGCAGCTCTGAATCCTGCCCTTAATGGGAGCCCTTCCTTTGACTTTGGATCCGATATTTATTGGCATCCTGGATGCTTTAGGGCATTGCCAGTGAGCTGCACAGCCTTTCATCCGTCTGAATCCAGCAAGTTTAGTAGGGGTTTAAAAAAAAAATCCTGTCTAATTGGCTTTGACCCCTATATGAAATAAATTTGTGTCTCAGTTTCAGTCCTATATCCCTTACCACCCTGTTTTTGAACTAACTGGCATTCAGCAGTGAGGCCAAGGACCGTGGGGTAGCAGGGGTACTTCAGTTCCTAGCTTCTGCTCCCCTCCAGCCCCTACACACAACATGGAACTTATCCATACAATGGGAATATTAACATCAAAACATAATAACTTGCTGGCAAAATATTATGAAATACCCAACTAGGTTGCTGCTGTGTTCAGAGAAAGGTTTGTTGTATTTTGGACTCGGGTTATTACATTTCAAATGTGCCTTTCTCATATTGAAAGTAGATTACTGAAGTGTATATAAAGCTTTTTTTTAAAAAAGCATGAGATTATTGTCCTTGTGTAATTTGGGCTCATTTGCAGTTTCTCTACCTTCCTGCCAGATGTTTCCACAAGCTTTTTTGGCTTTGAAGACTTAACTGTGAATAAAGGAAAAAATTACTAAACGGACTAATTTTTGCTCTAAACATTTGTCTTTTTAAATATTACTGCAAACTGCTGTACTAATTCCTTTTTACCACATTAGAGTGGTGGTTGTTCTCCTCTCTTCCCCTCATCATACTTCAGTCCTGGCCCCAAATCGGCAAGTTGCTCTGCACAGTATGCCTGCTTGCACACAACCTGCAAGAGTGGGACCTAAATGTTTAACTCTTACCCACACTAGCTTCTTTCACTTATTTGGTTTATATTTTGTGGAGCCACTAGTCTTTTATGGATTGCGATGATTTATTGTCTTAATTGTAAGAGGCACTTAGGAAGCCTCTGATTTTTAAATAAATAGCTAGTTTAAAAAATTCATTTTTTATTAGTTTAATCCAAATTTCTTATAGTTCCTCTTTTTGTCTTGGATTCTTTAAATGTTCCCGTTTCTGATTCTGCCAGACTTTCTTAATTCAAGATTTTTGTATAGTAACTAGATGTTGTTTTTTTAGTGTTTTATGTAATCATATGTGGCTTTGTTACATATATGCCAATCCAAAAGCAAATATGCTAATGTAAAATTAAACCAATGTGAAACCTGCTAATAGTTTTCAGAAGAAGATGGCTTTAGGAAGTGTAGCATTTTTCTTAATTCCTTTTTGGATAAATCTGCTATAACTGTAGAACTCTAATCTTCCCGTTTTTGTTTGTTGCCAGAAGCTCCAGATGAAAATGGCAAAACCCAGCGAGTCGACAGTCTTATTATGAAGAAGATAAAGAAAAAGAAGAAAAAGAAACACCGGGAGGATATGAGAGGGAAACGCCTTAAAATGTACAACAAAGAAGTACAAACAGTTTGTGCCGGACTTACTCGCATCAACAAAGAGATTCTGACTCAAGTACAGAGTGATAACTCGGAAGTGACCAAGGAATCCTTCAGGTATCTGAAGGATGAGCAGCTGTGTCGATTGAATTTGGGAATGCAGGAATATCGGGTACCCCAGGGAGTTCAGACACCATTTATGACTCATCAAGAGCACTCTGTTCGCAGCAGTTTCTTGAAAACGGGCACTAAATTTAGTAACTTTATTCATGAAGAACATCAGTCTAATGGTGGTGCTTTGGTCCTTCATGCCTACATGGATGAACTCTCATTTTTGTCTCCAGTGGAGATGGAGAGATTTGCAGAAGAATTTCTTGCTTTGTCATTCAGTGAAAATGAGAAAAATGCAGCCTACTATGCTTTAGCCATAGTACATGGCGCAGCTGCCTATTTGCCAGACTTCCTGGATTATTTTGCTTTTAATTTCCCTAACACTCCAGTGAAAATGGAAATTCTGGGCAAGAAGGACATAGAAACGACGACTATTTCAAATTTTCACACTCAGGTAATGTAGATGTTCCTAAACATATGAAGATTCAACAATTTTAATGTAGTTTCTGGATTTATACTGATGGACAAGAGGTGAGCAGAGTGATAATCCATGGACCTGTGTGTCTTGAAGTCTCTTCTCCCCACCCACTGGGGAAGATGATGGTATTTGTTGTCCCTGGATCATACTTGGGGGAGCTCCATCTTTTGCATTCATGTCTGATTTTAGGACATTTCTAAAACCTTAATCCCTATTCCAGAGCCTACTGACAAGTACAGAGGTCTCGGTACTAAACCAGCGGTTCTCAAACTTTAGCAACCCGAGGACCCCCATTTTGATTTAAAACTTTTGGGGGACTTCCAAGCCCCTGGCGCAGCCCCAGGCCCTGCCCCATTCCATCCCTTCCCCCAAGGCCCCGGCCCTGCCCCTTGTTTGCTCTCCCCCACCCTCACTCACTGTCATCAGGCTGGGACAGAGGGTTGGGGTGTGGGCACTGGGAGGAGAAAGTTTTTGGGTGCGGGAGGGAGTGCAGGCTCTGGGCTGGGATTGGGGGTGTGTGTGGGGGTGGGGTGCAGGCTCCAGCCCAATGGTGCTTACCTCAGGAGGCTCCCAAAAGCAACCAGCACATCTTGGGGGCACTGCCAGAGAGAAGGGAAGACCAGGGGGTCTCTGTGCAGAACAGGGATGTGCTGGCAGCTTCCATGAGTGGCATGTGGCAGGGAGCCTGCCTTAGCCTCACTACACCACTGGACTTTGAGTTCCTAAAATCTCCCGGTTTGGCTTCAGTAGCCTCTGGGAGGGAAGGGGAAGACTTGAGTTGATCAGCAGGGCCTGTGGCCCCTGAGAAGTTCCCTCAGGGACCCCAGTTTGAGAAACACTGTACTAAGCTATTCCTTCCCCAGCCTTCCATTTAGTGGATCCTTCTCTCTGTTAAGAAGTCCAGTGCCTGCCTTTGCAATTGTTCCTGGTTTTCACAAGCAGCAGCAACTAAAAATGAGACTTCAGAAGCCTCCCCTGGGCAACATATAGTGGCACTAAAATCAACCGGTCTTGTCAGCTTTAAGCAGCTGCTTGTGAAAAATAAGAACAGTAGCAAAGTCACATATCCATAAGGGATGGAAACTCTTTTAAAAACTCCAGAGATGGATTGTTTAGGCCAGGGTGGGCAAACTACAGCCTGCGGGCCACATCTGGCCCGCCAGCCAATTTAATCTGGTCCTTGAGCTCCTGCTGGGGAGCAGGGTCAGGGGCTGTGTGTGCATGCTGCAGGTCCAAGAAGAAGCAACATGTCTCCCCTCTGGCTCCTATGGTTAGGGGCAGCCACGGGGCTCCGCACACTGCCTCCACTCCAAGCACCACCCTTGCAGCTCCCATTGGCCAGGAACTGCGGCCAATGAAAGCTGCAGGGGCAGCACCTGTGGATGGGTCAGGGCACAGAACTGCCTGGCCGCGCCTGCACGTAGGAGCTGGAGGGGGGGATGTGCTGCTGCTTCCGGGAGCTGCTTGAGATAAGTGCCACCGGAGCCTGCGCCCCTGAGTCCCTCCTGCGCCCCAACCCTAGCTCTGATTTCCCCCTCCCACCCTCTGAACTGCTCAATCCCAGCCCGGAGCACCCTCCTGCACCCCAACCCTAATCTCCCAGCCCCACCCCAGAGCCTGCACCACCAGCCTCAACCCCCTCCCACACCCTGACCTCCATCTCCCAGCCCCACCCCAGAGCCTGCACCACCAGCCTGAACCCCCTCCCACACCCTGACCTCATCTCTGGCCCCACCCCAGAGCCCACACCCCCCCCCCCTCCAATTTTGTGAGCATTCATGGCCCGCCATACAACTTCCATACCCAAATTTGGCCCAAGAGCCAAAAAGTTTGCTCACCCCTGGTTTAGGCCCTCTACTTGCAAGCAGTAGTTTTCTAATCACTTGCGTAGATATTTTCCAGCTCTGATAAATTCCATATAACTTAGTGTGACTGTTCATACAATAACTTCAAACTCTAGTTTTCCCAGGAAAATCTGCTTCAGTCCTGATCTAAAATGTAACCTGGTAATAGTGTCATGAGAACTTGCTATTCTGGCTGCTTGTTAGCCTGTCTTCATATCAGTAAACATCAGTATTTTACTTGTAATAGGAAAGTAAAATTTACAAGATTGTAATAATGCCTGCAAACATAACTGACTTCCATATGCTCTAGTAACATTAGTTGTAGGAAAAACTTGGCATTTAAAACAAACTGGAAACTACTTAAAATTCCTATTGTAAAACAAACGTTGGCCATACTAGATGGTGCTGGCTAATTCATAAAATCACTCTCAAAGTGAGGAGGTTCTCCAGTGACATTCAAACACACCACCTTGCTTGCTTATTAATCTTTGGTTGTTGTCCACTTACCCCCAAATCCCTGTCCCTTTTTTTTTTTTTTTTTTTTTTTTTG